CAAAATTCAAATTTTGGAAGACTGCTCTATTCTTTTTTTTATTCCATTCTATAGTTTTTTTTCTATTCTATTTTTTTTTTTATATTTTATTCTATTTTTTTTTTTTTTCTATTCTGTTCTTCTGTTATCTTTTTTTATCATAATCTATTAAATTATATTCTTTTATTTCTATTCTATTCTTTTCTTTTTTAATCTATTTGATATTTCTAAATTAATCGCTTCAAAATTCAAATTTCAGAAGACAGTTTATATCCTATTGCTTTTTCTATTCTATTCAATTTATTCTATTCGAAATATAAATTTTGGAAGATGGTTATATTCTATTTTATTGTTTTTTTTTTTATTCTATTTTTTTTTTTCTATTCTATTCAAATTCAAATTAATTCTCTTAAAAATTCTAATTTTGGAAGACTGCCGTATTCTATTTTATTCTATTCTATTTTTTGTCTATTTATTTTTTTTTTTTTCTATTTTTATTTTATTCTAATCTATTATATTCTATTCTTTTATGTTCTATTCTTTTCTTTTCTAATATATTCAAATTCAAAGTTAATCTCTTCAAAATAAAAAATTTCGGAAGACAGTTATATTCCATTGTTTTTTCCATTATATTATAATTTATTATAATTTATTCTATTCGAAATATCAATTTTGAAAGATGTTTATATTCTATTTTTTTTTTTAATTCTATTCTATTCTTTTCTATTCGAACTCAAATTTATTCTATTCAAAATTCAAATTTTGGAAGACTGTTGTATTCTATGTTATTCTACTCTATTATTTTATATTGTATTCTATTCTTTTCAATTTTATTATTTTGTCAATTCTATTTTATTTTCTATATTGATCTATTATGTTCTATCTTTTATGTTCTATTCTATTCTTTTCTATTCTATTCAAATTCAAATTTATTCTCTTCAAAATTCAAATTTCAGTTATATTCTATTGTTTTTTTTTCTATTCTATTCTATTCAAATTTATTCTATTCAAATGTTGGAAGACAGTTATATTCTATTGTTTTTCTATTCTATTCTAAGCTATTCTATTCTAATTTATTCTATTCAAAATATCAATTTTTTTGGAAGATGGTTATATTCTATTTTTTTTTTATTCTATTCTATTCTTTTCTATTTCTATTCAAATTAAAATGTATTCTATTCAAAATTCTAGTTTTGGGAAGACTGCTGTATTCTATTTTATTTTTTTTTTTTCTATTTTATTCTTTTGTCTAGTCTATTCTTTTCTATTATGTTCTTTTTATGCTATTATTTTCTAATCTATTCTAATTCGAAATTTATTCTCTTAAAAATTTAAATTTCAGAAGACAGTTATATTCTATTTGTTTTTTCTATTCTATTCAAATTTTGGAAGTTATATTCTATTTTATTCTATTGTTTTTTTTTTCTCTTCTATTCTAATCTATCCTATTATTTTATATTGTATTCTATTGTTTTTATATTCTATTGTTTTGTCTATTCTTTTCTTTTCTTTTCTATTGTAATCTATTCCTTTTTGTTCTTTTATTTTCTAATCTATTCTTTTCATATCCGATTCAAATTCGATTTGAATTTCTTTTCGTTATTTTGGATTTGTTAATAATGTAATTCGGAGATTCGGAGACATTCGAATGTCTGAATAATGAAAAATTTGTTCGAATCTGAATTTGGAAGGAATCCAACGGCACGTGTCTACATTACAGTGCGCTCTGTGCTGAGCGATTGCCAACAAGAGGATACGTTGTATTGTATTCGTTGTGCTCTTTCCACCCAAAACTGATACTAGGGTAGCGCCCTCTAGTGGGCTCCTAGAAAAGTGTAGGCCAATCTATTGTGTAGGACTTGTGGTAACTGTGCGAGTCTGCAATTGGTTCGGCTTACTGCAGGTTAGGCTGGATGACTTAACAGGTTGGGACTCTATCGCCTCCACCTGGCTCTGGAGGACCATGGAAGCTTCCAGAAGCCAGTAGGCGGAAGGGGTGGAGACCTAATTTGCATGTTTATAGGAGTTTAACCAATCCCAGGTTTGGAGGCCCTGGTAGGGTGGTGAGACCAACCCCATAAATATGTAAGAGTCAGGCTGGCAGGGGAGTAGGGTGGAAGATGGAGTGCCGAGGAGACTGGTGGTGGCCTGAGAGGGGTCTCCAAGGCTTGGGGAGGCTAGCAAAACCAAGCTCATGGACTGTTCACTGACTGTGGAAAATGCAGGTTGCCTGGCTGTGCAGAGTTTAGGGGGACCCAGAAACACAGCGGCCTTCAAGAGGGCAGCGCTACACTTTGATTATAAGTGGAGCCTGCCTATGTGGAGCTATCTCCTGACACCCTGAGTCCTATAATCTGGTGGAGGTCTCTCCTGACACCCTGAGACCTATAATCTGGTGGAGGTCTCTCCTGACACCCTGAGTCCTTTATTCTGGTGGAGGTCTCTCCTGACACCATGAGTCCTATAATCTGGTGGAGGTCTCTCCTGACACCCTGAGTCCTATAATTTGATGGAGGTCTCTACTGACACCCAAGGCCTTTAAACCGTTGGAGGTTCCTGACACCATGAGTCCCTAGTCTGACGAAGGACTCTCCTGACACCCTGAGTCCTATAATGTGATGCAGGTTCCTGACACCCTGAGTCTTATAAAATGATGGAGGTCCCTGACACCCTGAGTCTTTATAAAATGATGGAGGTCCCTGACATTTGGAACTTTATAAACTGATGGAGGTCTCCCCTGACACCCTCATCCTTATAAACCAAAGGAGGTCTCTCCTGACACCCTCATCCTTATAAACTGATGGAGGTCTCTCCTGACACCCTCATCCTTATAAACCAAAGGAGGTCTCTCCTGACGACCCCCATCCTTATAAACTGATGGAGGTCTCCCCTGACACCCTCATCCTTATAAACCAAAGGAGGTCTCTCCTGACACCCTCATCCTTATAAACTGATGGAGGTCTCTCCTGACACCCTCATCCTTATAAACTGATGGAGGTCTCTCCTGACACCCTGACAGTCTTATAAACCAATGGAGGGTCCTGACACCCGGAACTTATAAACTGATGGAGGTCTCTCCTTACACCCTCATCCTTATAAACTGATGGAGGTCTCTCATGACACCCTCATCCTTACAAACTGATGGAGGTCTCTCCTGACACCCTCATCCTTATAAACTGATGGAGGTCTATTCCTCCTGACACCCTGAGCCTTATGAACTGATGGAGGTCTCTCCTGACACCCTCAGCCTTATAGACTGATGGAGGTCTTTCCTGACATGACACCCTGAGCCTTATAAACTGATGGAGGTCTCTCCTGACACCCTGAGCCTTATAAACTGATGGAGGTCTCTCCTGACACCCTCACCCTTATGAAACTGATGGAGGTCTCTCACTGACAACACCCTCAGCCTTATAAACTGATGGAGGTCTCTCCTGACACCCTGAGCCTTATATACTGATGGATCTCTCCTGACACCCTCACCCTTATAAACTGATGGAGGTCTCTCCTGACACCCTCATCCTTACACCAACTGATGGGGTCTCTCTTGACACCCTCATCCTTATAAACTGATGGAGGTCTCTCGATGGGGCACTATGACACACCCCTCATCCTGATGGGAGAGACCTCCACTCAGTGATTATAAGGATGAGGGTGTCAAGAGAGACCTCCATCAGTTTATAAGGATGAGGGTGTCAAGAGAGACCTCCATCAGTTTTATGACACCCTCATCCTTATAAACTGATGGAGGTCTCTCCTGACACCCTGAGTCTGATAAACCGATGGAGAGATTCCATGTACTGCTGTGGAAGGGTGTACCGACTCTGCAGTTAGTTGCACACATTCCACCTTTAGGCACATTCTGTCTTCTCATTTACTTTCCTTCCTCCTGACACCTTATCATGGCTGCCAGATACACCTTTATGGAGCTTCCACCCTACAAACTGCAAATCATAAATCTCCACCTATATGTATAGACATGGGATCCGCCCGGCTCCAGTCACCATGGAGAACACAACACCAACCACATGTCACCCTGCAGACCCAGAAACTCAGCACAGGGATGGTGGGAACCCCTCATAATGGGCACAGCGGGTGTACAGACCCGGGAACTCAGCACAGGGATGGTGGGAACCCCTCATAATGGGCACAGCGGGTGTACAGACCTGGAAACTCAGCACAGGGATGGTGGGAACCCCTCATAATGGGCACAGCGGGTGTACAGACCCGGGAACTCAGCACAGGGATGGTGGGAACCCCTCATAATGGGCACAGCAATGGGGGTGTACAGACCTGGGGAACTCAGCACAGGGATGGTGGGAACCCCTCATAATGGGCACAGCGGGTTGCATGGAGTTAATCCTAAGATGTTTAACAAACACAGAAATGTCAGTTATTGGTTTGGAATTGGACATTTCTGGTTGAACTGCTCCCTCTGCATTCTCAATGACGGTCATTTTATGGGAGATGGGGGAGGTGCTTAGCCCAGGACTATTAGACCCTAGAAGCCATAGAGATTACAGTCCCTGTCCAGGAAGCCATGACCCCGGAAGCAGAGTGTTAACATGCACACCTGAATCACATATATACATACTACTGCCAAAAGTATTGGCCCCGGCCTCCCAATCATGTGATTCAGGTGTTCCAATCCCCTCCATATCATGTGATTCAGGTGTTCCAATCCCCTCCCAATCATGTGATTCAGGTGTTCCAATCCCCTCCATATCATGTGATTCAGGTGTTCCAATCCCCTCCCAATCATTGGACTCAGGTGTTCCAATCCCCTCCATATCATGTGATTCAGGTGTTCCAATCCCCTCCCAATCATTGGACTCAGGTGTGTTGCCAATCCCCTCCATATCATGTGATTCTGGTGTTCCAATCCCCTCCATATCATGTGATTCAGGTGTTCCAATCCCCTCCATATCATGTGATTCAGGTGCTCCAATCCCCTCCATATCATGTGATTCAGGTGTTCCAATCCCCTCCCAATCATGTGATTCAGGTGTTCCAATCCCCTCCATATCATGTGATTCAGGTGTTCCAATCCCCTCCCAATCATTGGACTCAGGTGTTTCCAATCCCCTCCATATCATGTGATTCAGGTGTTCCAATCCCCTCCCAATCATTGGACTCAGGTGTTCCAATCCCCTCCATATCATGTGATTCAGGTGTTCCAATCCCCTCCATATCATGTGATTCAGGTGTTCCAATCCCCTCCATATCATGTGATTCAGGTGCTCCAATCCCCTCCATATCATGTGATTCAGGTGCTCCAATCCCCTCCAATCATGTGATTCAGGTGTTCCAATCCCCTCCATATCATGTGATTCAGGTGCTCCAATCCCCTCCATATCATGTGATTCCGGTGTTCCAATCCCCTCCATGGACACAGGTGTATACAATCATCCCCTAGGCATGCAGACGGCTTCTACAAACATTGGTGAAAGAATGGGTCGCTCTCAGGAGCTCAGTGACTCCAAGCGTGGTCCCGTGATAGGTGGCCACCTGGGCAATAAGTCCATCCGGGACATTTCCTGGCTACTAAATATTCCACGCTCAACTGTTAGTGGGATTATAACAAAGTGGAAGCAACTGGGAACAACAGCCACTCAGCCACCAAGTGGTAGGCCACGTCACATGACAGGGCGGGGTCAGCGCATGCTGAAGCGCACAGTGCGCAGAAGTCACCAACTGTCTGCAGAGTCAATAGCTAAAGACCTCCAAACTTGGTGTGGCCTTCAGATGAGCCCAACAACAGTGCGTAGAGAGCTTCATGGAATGGGTTTCCATGGCCGAGCAGCTGCATCCAAGCCTTCCATCACCAAGTGCAATGCAAAGCGTCGGATGCCGTGGTGTAAAGCACGCCGCCACTGGACTCTAGAGCAGGGGAGGCGTGTTCTCTGGAGTGACCAATCACGCTTCTCTGTCTGGCAATCCGATGGATGTGTCTGGGTTTGGTGGTGGCCAGGAGAACGGTAGTTGCCTGACTGCATTGTGCCAAGTGTAAAGTTTGGTGGAGGGGGGATTATGGTGGGGGGTTGTTTTTCAGGGGTTGGGCTTGGCCCCCTAGTTCCAGTGAAGGGAACTCTTAAGGTGACATTTTGGACAATTTCATGCTCCCAACTTTGTGGGAGGAGTTTGGGGATGGCCCCTTCCTGTTCCAACATGACTGCCCACCAGTGCACAAAGCAAGGTCCATAAAGACATGGAGGAGCCAGTTTGGGGTGGAGGAACTTGACTGTCCTGCACAGAGTCCTGACCTCAACCCCATAGAACACCTTTGGGATGAATTAGAGCGGAGACTGCGAGCCAGGCCTCCTCCCCCGACATCAGTGCCTGACCTGACAAATGTGCTTCTGGAAGAATGGTCCAACCTTCCCATAGACACCCTCCTAAACCTTGTGGACGGCCTTCCAGAAGAGCTGTTATAGGCTGCAAAGGGCGGGGCCAACTCAATATTGACCCTACGGGCTAAGACTGGGGGGGGCCATTAAAGGTCATGTGTGGGGAAAGGCAGGCGGCCTAACACTTGGGGCAATATAGTGTATATATGGGGGGGGGGAGAATACATGGGGCAATATGGTGTATATATGGGGGGGGGGGGACAATACATGGGGCAATATGGTGTATATACGGGGGGGACAATACATGGGGCAATATGGTGTATATACGGGGGGGGGGGGACAATACTTGGGGCAATATGGTGTATATACGGGGGGGGGGGACAATACTTGGGGCAATATGGTGTATATACGGGGGGCGGGGACAATACTTGGGGCAATATGGTGTATATACGGGGGGGACAATACTTGGGGCAATATAGTGTATATACAGGGGGGGGGACAATACATGGGGCAATATAGTGTATATACGGGGGGGGACAAATACTTGGGGCAATATATACGGGGGGGGGGACAATACTTGGGGCAATATAGTGTATATACGGGGGGGGGACAATACTTGGGGCAATATGGTGTATATACGGGGGGGGGGACAATACTTGGGGCAATATGGTGTATATACTGGGGGGGGGGACAATACTTGGGGCAATATAGTGTATATACGGGGGGGGGACAATACTTGGGGCAATATAGTGTATATACGGGGGGGGGACAATACTTGGGGCAATATGGTGTATATATGGGGGGGGACAATACTTGGGGCAATATAGTGTATATACGGGGGGGGACAATACTTGGGGCAATATAGTGTATATACGGGGGGGGGGGACAATACTTGGGGCAATATGGTGTATATACGGGGGGGGACAATACTTGGGGCAATATAGTGTATATACGGGGGGGGACAATACTTGGGGCAATATGGTGTATATATGGGGGGGGGACAATACTTGGGGCAATATAGTGTATATACGGGGGGGGGGACAATACTTGGGGCAATATGGTGTATATATGGGGGGGGACAATACTTGGGGCAATATAGTGTATATACGGGGGGGGACAATCTCGTGTATATCACAAGCACTGTAATTAGTCACCATACACACATATAATACATCCAACACACACAGAGTGGAACTCACATCCTGAAGATGATGGTCCCGACTCCGGCCATGATGGAGGGTTCCTCTTCCCTGTAGGTCCAGAAGAAGGATCAGGTTTGGTGATGTGCTCAGTACTCCTCCCTCCAGGGACTGTCAGAATGCAGACAATGTTTGGTTTTCCTCCCTCCAGAGACTCTCGGGATTTAGATATTACTCAACATTCCTTCTTCCAGGGATTGTGAGAAATGAGATAACGGGACTAGCACTCCTTCCTCCAGGGACTGTCAGGCTAGAGATAATGCTCAGCACTCCTTCCTCCAGGGACTGTCAGGCTAGAGATAATGCTCAGCACTCCTTCCTCCAGGGACTGTCAGGCTAGAGATAATGCTCAGCACTCCTTCCTCCAGCAGTCCTCAATTCGCAGTAATGCATCACAAGGAGTGTCCCCACACCTAGGTGCGAAGAAGCCAAACCCAGAGCAGTCCTTGTGCTGGGAGGGACTGTGACCTGCTCCAGGGGACAGTCTGCTCTCCCATAACAACTGAAAAGGTTCACCAAGAACAGTCAGAGTAGAAAGGACCCTCACCAAAACAGGAGGAGACCCCCATCAGAGCAGGAGAAGACCTCCACCAAAACAGGAGGAGACCCCCATAAGAGCAGGAGAAGACCTCCACCAGAACAGGAGGAGACCCCCATCAGAGCAGGAGAAGACCTCCACCAAAACAGGAGGAGACCCCCATCAGAGCAGGAGAAGACCTCCACCAAAACAGGAGGAGACCCCCATAAGAGCAGGAGAAGACCTCCACCAAAACAGGAGGAGACCCCCATCAGAGCAGGAGAAGACCTCCACCAAAACAGAGGAGACCCCCATAAGAGCAGGAGAAGACCTCCACCAAAACAGGAGGAGACCCCCATCAGAGCAGGAGAAGACCTCCACCAAAACAGGAGGAGACCCCCATCAGAGCAGGAGAAGACCTCCACCAGAGAAAAAGACTTCCAAAAAACGCAGGGGGAGACCACCCTCGGAGCAGGAGGTGACCCTCCACCAGAGCAGGGAGAGGCCCCTACTAGAGCAGGGGGAAACCCACTCTACAGCAGGAGGAAACCCACTCCAGGACAGGGGGAGACATCCCACTAGAGCAAGGGGAGGTCCCCACTAGAGCAGGTGGAAACCCAAACAAGAACTGGGGGGAACCCCCTACTAGAGCAAGAGGAGGCACCCACTAGACCAGGAGGAAACCCAAACCAGGGCTGGGGGGCAGAGACACAAACTACTGCGGGGAAATCTCCCCATTGTGGGAGGGGCAGAGACACAAATACTGCGGGGAAATCTCCCCATTGTGGGAGGGGCAGAGACACAAACTACTGCGGGGAAATCTCCCCATTGTGGGAGGGGCAGAGACACAAACTACAACTACTGCAGGAAATCTCCCCATTGTGGGAGGGGCAGAGACACAAACTACTGCAGGGAAATCTCCCCATTGTGGGAGGGGCAGAGACACAAACTACTGCGGGGAGAAATCTCTCCATTGTGGGAGGGGCAGAGACACAACTACTGCGGGGAAATGTCCCATTGTGGGAGGGGCAGAGACACAAACTACTGGGGGGGAAATCTCTTCATTGTGGGAGGGGCAGAGACACAAACTACTGCAGGGAAATCTCCCCATTGTGGGAGGGGCAGAGACACCAACTACTGGGGGGAAATCTCCCATTGTGGGAGGGGCAGAGACACAACTACTGCAGGAAATCTCCCCATTGTGGGAGGGGCAGAGACACAACTACTGCGGGAAATCTCCCCATTGTGGGAGGGGCAGAGACAAACTACTGCGGGGAAATCTCTCCATTGTGGGAGGGGCAGAGACACAAACTACTGCAGGAAATCTCCCCATTGTGGGAGGGGCAGAGACACAAACTACTGGGGGAAATCTCCCCATTGTGGGAGGGGCAGAGACACAAACTACTGCGGGGAAATCTCCCCATTGTGGAGGGGCAGAGACACAAATACTGGGGGAAATCTCCCCATTGTGGGAGGGGCAGAGACACAAACTACTGCAGGGAAATCTCCCATTGTGGGAGGGGCAGAGACACAACTACTGCAGGAAATCTCCCCATTGTGGGAGGGGCAGAGACACAACTACTGCAGGGAAATCTCCCCATTTGCAGTTTGGGATGTTAGGTGCACAACTCGGGTGCCTGTAGTTCCAGCAATCTTCCAGTTGTGTCAGGGGCCGACACAACTACTGCAGTGATCTCCCCATTGTGGGAGGGGCAGAGACACAAACTATCTGTTTGGTTGGTTTTGCACATTTTTCCCTTTGTAGTAACTTTGTTGTCTTCTCCTTTTGCAGTTTATCTCCCCATTGTGGGAGGGGCAGAGACACTTTAAACTACTCAGGGAAATTCCCATTTGGGAGGGGCAGATTGACACCCTCCTGCAGGAAATCTCTCTCTTTTGTTTCAGGGGCACAGAGACACAACACTCCCAAATCTCCCCATTGGCTGGAAAATCGAGACACCAGCGGGAAATCTCCCCATTGTGGGAGGGGCAGAGACCAAATACTGCGGGGAAATCTCCCCATTGTGGGAGGGGCAGAGACACAATACTGGGGGGAAATCTCCCATTGTGGGAGGGGAACAGCATTGTATGGCACTAGGATATTGTAAACGGGAAATCCCCTCCCCCCCAATTATGGATCACTGCCCAGAGACACAACTACTGCGGCTGAAATCCCCATTGTGGGAGGGGCAAGACACAACTACTGCAGGAAATCTCCCCATTCTGCAGGTTTATAATGTTAGGTGACACTGGGGTGCCTGTA